TGAATTTCGTCCATAAAATTTCAAAAATTGCTTGAAACTTCAGAATTTTCCGCTGAAAAATCAGTCGGAAATATGCGATTTTCCTGTAGTGTAATATGCAAGGGATTTAAAATATTAATTTAATAAGAAGATAAAATAATCTCTATTCAAATACATATAATCAAGGTTGGAGGTTCCATCCTAATTTTAATTGGTAAATAATATAAATCGTAACAATCAATAGAACAATGGGCAGAGTAATCAAGAAATAAATTAAATAATCCTCAATAACCTGCTCTTAATACTAGACTTACATATCCTCTAGGATTTAATCAAAACAAAAAAATAGCATTAGATGATGTAGTAATGCAATTAGGGAATCAATTGCAAAATCAAGTTGGTTCTTTTAAAAATTTGAAAACCAAATTAAGTTAGCTAGCAATTTCAATCCAAAAAAAAAAAAATCTTAGTAAAAGTCATTTGAAGAATGGAAAAAATGAACCCCAAGAAAAATTAAAAATTTTAGGCTAATCTGGATAAAGAATATAAACTTAGTGCCGCATGAGAGGTAACCTGGAAATAGGTTGAGTGTGTTACTAAGTCTGATAGAAGACTATAAACTTAGCGCTTTAAGGGAGGCAACCCATCTTTTTGTTTAGGTGTGTTAGGTAGGATTGCTAGTTTTAATAATAATAATCATTAAAATTTGCTTTTAAAAAATGAGAGAAGGAGCATCGTAGCCTTGAGTTTAGACCAGGATGCATTTATTTTAAATTTAAAGTTTTTGGCCCCAAAACTAGTTAAAATTATAAAAAGGATAAGTTGAAAGTTTTATTTTCTATCATTGACAGATCTTTTGGAGTAAAGTGTTATTGAGTACTCTTCTTTCATTCTTGAAACTTAAAAGCCATGGGTGTGAAGAAAAGAAAGCATTCTTCCTCTAAGAATAGAAGTATAATGCAATTGAAAAATGAAGTTTCATTTTCTCTTCTCAACTTCCAGAGTTATGCTATCATTAATAAACTTCATGAATTTAAAAATAACGTTCAAGAAGGTCAAGAAGGTACAAAAAAATATAATGACGAATAGAAGAAGATATATGGATGTGAGGTTCTTGATTATAAATTTTATCCTGATCAAGATGTCTTACTGTTTGATTATAAAAAGAAGTTTTTCCATGGAAAACTAAAATTAGGATGGATTGGCCCTTATACTATTATTAGAATTTATATCAATGCTACCATAAGAATTTAGAGAACTTTTCATATTTTCAAGGTTAAGGGTCATAGATTGAAACCTCGTGAATCAGAAGAATAAAGAGAGTTTCTATTTTTCTATGTGCTTAGCTTTAGAGAGGGAGAGGATATATGTATGTTATCTTTGTTTTCCTTCATGTGTTTTAGAGGATAATTCAAATATATGAAAGATGGCCATGTTTTTGGAGATATGGCTACTAGAGTCATTGTTGTTATGATGGTGACTTAAACACTACTTATCTTGTACGTCTTTTATTATTTTATATCACATGTTTTATATAATTCTATCACACATATAAAAGATGTGTTTGTTATGATTAATTGTATTGTTATTTATATTATATTAAATTCCTCTTATACTTAAATTTTATATTATTTTTCATTTATATATCTGCATTTTGATTATTAATTAACCTTTATAAAAATGATAATTAAAATTTATTTAAAATTAGGATAATAATAAAATATGTTATCATAGTTTAAATGAACATTGATTTATATTTCATAGATTAGGAAAAATAATAATTAACTAACTTAGATCATTTAAGTTTTTGACTTAACTCGAATTTCTAGTTATCTATTTATATATTGATATTTGAATTGAAGATAAATAATTAAGGTTAAATAATAGATATTGATAGATTAAAATTGAAAATGATAAAACAAATCAAATTTCAATTAGTAAACCTATTAAATCTTTTTAATAATATTGTGTAGATTGTAAAAGGAAGATAAGCAAAACAGATATTCAAAATTGTTAACTAAGTACTAGCAAAAAAAAGAACTTGAAAAGAGTTTTAAAAAAGAAAAAAATAAAGAAAAAAAATGAGTGCATTCAAATTTTGGTATCAATTAAAAGCTTAGAATTTGACTACAATCTTATACTAAAATTCACAAAGGACAAGATGGAAAAGATAATAGAAATATTGGTGAACTACTGAAAATTTAATTTTAAGTACAAACACATCTAAATCTTTAATCTTTATTATCCAATTAAAATTTTAATAATCAAATATTATATTTATAACAAGCAACTGCCAATTAAGCAATGATAAGAATGACTGATCAGGTTAATTATTAGTATTTTTTAAACTAGAATTATAACTTTGCTCATTTTTACTAGTTTTAAACTGTGATGTATTATCCTTTTTCTTGTATTTTTAGATTATTTCTAAACTATTAGAAATAGAACTTTTGTTATTTAATTAAGTAGAATAACATAATTTTTATTTGCATGAGGATAAGTAAGAGTTTATGTTGGGGAGATTTTGATAAGTGTAAATTATGTTATATATATATATATATATATATATATTTAAATGTGTTATTTTAATTATTTGTATGTATGAAAAACTCAAAAATGATAAAAAATCAAAATTAGAGTATAGCGCCATGGCATCCAACAATTCCACACTGCAACACCATCTTCCACGTGATTGAGGTGCCACACGTGGATATGGCAGCATCGTGTTCACTGTCTTCAAGTGCCGCATCATCAAAATGGTTAGCTTGGTACTGTCGTGTTCACTATTTTCAAGCACTGCACTGTTAGAATGGTCAGGTTGGTGGAATTATGTTCTCTAACTTTAAGCGTCATGGCGGAACAATCTATCACACATTGATACCAAATCTGCCATCAATCACCGTAGTGTTCTAAAGTCATAAACGTTGCGATGTAGCAATTGTAACTTCCAAGGGGCAATCTGCTAGCGAAGCAACGTGACTGTTCACTAAGTAACCGTTCTTAATCAGCAAGCATCGTGGCAATGCAGAAGTTCCAACGCAGAAGCATTAATTCATTTAAAGGGAGCCACAATGCCGCTCTTTTAAGCACCACATAACAACATATTATTTTTGTGATATCCTATATATAGTAATAATTTTATATTTGAGAGGGGGTTCATTCAGTTGTCTAATTTAAGTACTTCTTAGAGTAATTCTTTATATCTCTCTTAGAGTCAATTCTAAGGGAGATTAGAGACGTGCTAGATAAAATTATTAGAGTATTTAGTCAGTATTTGTTTGAGCAACTATGTACGTTAAGGAAGGAGTGTAGAGAAGATACATTGATCCTTTCTGGTGATATCACTCTCTTGTATTTTAGTTCTTCCATGATTTCAATAAAAATGAGCATGCTTATCATTTCTTCCATGTCTGACTAATTCTCTAGCTTTGGATTGAAGATGAAGAGAACATATTAAGTACTAATTAAGATTCATGTGCTATAAATTTAAATGATGTTTACAATATTTTTTTCTCATTTTATTTATTGCACATAGTGGTCATATGTATAGTTAAAATCTAGTACGATGTATAGCCTCAAGGAAGAAATGCAAGAACAACCAAAAATATTGAATTAATATGTTTGCATGCTTTGACATAGGATGTAAAATATGCTAGGTTCTTATGGAGATGATATAACTATAGGAGATCAACATATATCCATTTCACCCATACAAACACTACAGAGATCTAGGGATACATATGCTCTGAATTATATTTATAAAAAAGAGTTTCATTAGGAAAATTATATAATTGTATTTATCAATCCAAAATATTTTATTTAAATATTGCATCAATTATTTTTACTGTTTTTATTTAGTGATTGAATTGCCACAACCATATTTTTATTTTAGTAGGATAATTTTACTATTAGAGTAAATGATGGCAGTTCATTGCTAGAAAGCATATTTTCTCATGGGTTCAACACTCCACTCCATTATTTTATTACTTGATTCAACACATATAATTGCGTATATTAAGTGGAATTTGTTATTTTTTATATATCAAATAAAACCTAAGCATTGTTTAGGGGAGGTAGAGCATTAAACATTTTAACAATTCAAAATTGACTCCATAGCTCCCATCAACTAACTTTCTTAATGTGTTGTTTTGGTAATAGTGAAATACTTCAATGATCTAGTCTTCATTCTCAATTACCAATATGTAGACAGGGACACACTTTCTTTATAGATTGTTATTTACCTTTAATATAAGGTGCTAATGATGCCTTGGGAGTGCAGTGAGGTTAAAGGGAAGGGCAAACCATATATAATACCAAGTTACAATAATTCACAAAATTAATTAATACAACAGAAGTAGCTTATTATTTTCATATAAGAATAATTCCAATGGATTCATTAAGGTCTACATATTGGTAAAAACAAGTACCAAATATGTTTAGGAAGTGTTAAGAATGTATCAATGTTTGTTTCAACCTCCTTCAGAATTGACGCCTGAAAGAGTTGTGGACCATCATATCAATTTTATAGTAGGATCGAGTCACCTTTGGGTTAGGCCAGACTATTATTAGTATTTTAGAAAATATAAATCAAAGGTTTGGTGAAAGAAATGCTAGATGCAAGTATTATAAATGAAATTAGGAGCTCATTTTCATTGCCAATGGCTCTTAGTAAGAAAAAAAAAAAAGTCGGGATATAACACTTTTGTAGAGATTATAAGGCCTTGAATAAGATAAAAGTTTTTGATCTTTTTCTTATGCCAACTATGATTACATAGGGTGGAAATTTTTTTAAAACTAGATTGAGATCTATATATCATTATCTAAGAATGGCGGATGAAGACATATACAAAATGACATTTAGAACTCATGTTAGATATTATGAGTTCTTGGCTATGTTTAAGAAATGTCTCTTCTACTTTTCAAAACATAATGAATAGCATCTTATGACCATTTCTACAATAATTTGTTTTTTCTCTTTTTTTTTGACAATATTTTAGTATTCTTTCCAACAATGGAAGCTCATTTGAATCATCCATGAATAGTATTACAACACTGTAGTTACAAACTTTGTTCATTAAGCCAACAAAATGTTTATAGCGTTGAAAAATTCTATGATCTTATTAGCTGTTCTAGCCTTTACTAAATTTTCTCTACCCTTTATCATTGAAATCGATGCTCTAGGAATGGTTTAGGAACGTTAGCTTTGTCGTGAAGGACAGAGATGATTGGTAAAACTAAGTTCATAACCACAAGATAGCCTCAAATTAAGGACAATGGCAACACATTTTTAGCTTATACAGAAGAAATGATGCATTTAGTTGAACACAAACAAAGCCTGACTTGCTTTCTAAAACAACATTTTACTACAAAAAATTCTTAAATTAGAAATTTTTATACTTAAAAGCTATTTTAGAAAGCAGTATTAAAGCAGTCCCAAATAAAACTTTAGACTTTTAATGGCCTATTAACTTAAACTTTCAAAGGTTCACCCTGTTTTTCAGTATCCTATTTGAAACCTTTTTGCGAAGATTTTAATCTACATCCAACCCCATTACTAGCACAATTTACAGAAGAGAAATTCTAAAACAAGGATTAATAATGCAAACGGAGACATCAGCAGCACAATTATTTTGTTCAATGGGATGATTACTACTTGAAGAATTGCATAAACTTATTCAGATTTAGAAATTGGGAGTAAGGTCATTTTTGAGGAAGTGGGTGGGTAATGATGTAAAGCTAACATCATCAACAACTGCTAAAGAAATAAGAGCATGAAGGTGACCTAAATGGATGAAGGACATCCAAGAAGCTAGCAAGGATTCTTTGTCAATTAGCTGTGTAACTCATTTAGTTTGTCAGTTGTAATGGAAATTAGTTAGGAAGTTGCTAAATAGTTGTACTAACTAAGCTCAGCTAATGTGTACTTGCACTTAGCTGTCGTAATAGAGTTCGGTTGCTTACAATGCTTGTATTCAGCTGACAGTTTTTTTGGTAGAAACATGTCTGTAAATATTTTAAAACACAAAATAAACAGAAAGAACTGGCAAGGCAACTCAGATATGAAGTGTACAAAACTTAAAATCTAAACCAATAGACAGAAGCCTTCAAAGCAGATTAGCAGTTGAACAAGTACTATCCTAATGGCTTCTGTGATCAATGTTGATGAAAATGATAATGATAAGAGATCAAAATTGATAGAAATTTTCTTGCTTCAAAGAGGAATTTCCAATAAGTTAAACCGAAGGGTTCTAACTTGAAAAAAAAAAATTCAAACAGTCCTTCAAGCATTATAATAAGGTAAGTAAAATCCATCAAGCAATATCATGCACTTCAGTGTTTGGTATATCATTTCTATGCAGAAAAGGGGATTATATTTCTTTATATGGGGAAATGTATAACAGTACAAAAATAAATATCAGAGTGCATTTTACATGCCCTTAGTTTCCTTGCAAGATCTGAATACATCAATGAGGGAACCAGATTCTTGCCTATACAAACAAAAAATGCACTCAATTAACATAAAAATTCAAACAATTTTCAAAGAATTTTTTAGACTGCGGATTTTAATTACAAGCTTTTGTCTTTCCCCTTCAACTTCTGCAAATTTTAAGCTCATCTCAGAATATCTTTCCTGCATTTCTTTCAGCTCAGTTTCCATCATTTGATTTTGTTCCTTTAGTTCAGCCATCTCCACCAATACTTTTGTAGTATTCTGCTGTGTCTGTTCACAGCTGCATAAGATTGATCTTTCTTCTTGAATCTCTGGACTATCAACAGTATTATTGCATAGACGAGTTGTTTGAGGATTAAATTTTTGTTTTCTTTTTTTTTTTTTGCATTTGTTGCCTCTATTCTCTACATTATCATACAAACTTTACCTTATGATTAATGCCGTTCCGATGCTGTTTAAATCCTTCACCTTTTTCTTGTCCTCCATTATGTGATTACGTACATAATCTCCATTACTTCTGCCATTCTGCACTCTTATACGTACGAATGAGTGCAATAAACAATAAAATCAACTTAATGTTCTAACAACAGCATCACACATAGAAAGAATTAGGAGACACGTATTTTGCATAAAACACAAATAATATACATTTAGGAAATATAAGATGTAATATAGGATAAAATTATTTGATAAGAATTGGAATTTGAAATAAAGGCATAACTGCAAACAGTTTCTTCGGTATTCCATTTATATTTGACAAAAAAACATCAGATGGTGCAAGAATAAACTTGTTTGTTCTTCTACTGGGTAATCCTTGGGCTATTATGTTTGTTTCAACTTGCTAGTGCTATTTTTATTTTCCCTTGTCTATGTCATCGTACTATGCATCGCTATTGTGCCATTAACCATGCATAGTTGTATAACTTAGTATTATTTATGAATATAATTCTTGAAAACTAGGTGCCAAATTATCTTTTAATAGAAAAGCTATTGATAATGCCATTTCTTATACCTTCTAGGAATAAAAATTAGGTAGCTGTTATATATAGTTTTTGGTAGGCAACAAGAAAAAGGTATAAATGAAAAAAAGAAAGCGTGATTTTGACGTTCACTAATTCACATCACTCTCTCTCTCTCTTTATCTCTCTCTAATCCAGCTCGCTCATTTGTACTAGATGAGTAAAGCTTACCACATACTATTTCACTTTTTGGGTATTTGTTTGTGCGAGATTTGAAAGCTCAATTTCCCTAACTCTCAAATGCCAATGAAAAATATTAATAATAATAACAGATATTTTCTAAAAGCAGCAAGGATACCTCAGGAAGCAGGGTCTTCTTATGCGAACTAATCTTGCTTCTTGATGATGACTTTATGAGTACTTCTGGGTTAAGTAGCTTTGCATTGTGATCCTTTGATTTTTTCTCAATAATAGCAATAATACCTGCTTCCTTCTGTGCGTTGCCACTCAATAGACCAACTTGCTTCCTGAGATTCTCTTTTTCTTGTTCATTCTCAAATAACGAATGCTTCAGGCCATCATATTGAGCTCTATGCATTACTAACTCTGCATTTAGATTCCTAATAGTCGCATCATTTTCAATTTTTAGTTGCCTGAGGTCACTCAGCTCCTTAAGTGACTTCTTGGCTTCCACTTTTAAAAAAGAAAGCTCCTCCTCAAGCATAGATTTGTCCTTTCTGCAGGCTTGAAGCAACATATTGCTTTCAGTCATTGATGCTTTCAGCTGGTCCATCTCTTTTATCAATTTTTCCTTGAGTTTAATCTGTTCAGCAAAGTGATCGCTTTTTCCTGAGAGCTTTTCAACCTCACTTGTAAGCTGTGCTATTTGTTCCGAGGAAGCCCTTTGTCTTGCTTCTGTAACCATACTTTGATTTTCAAGCTCCTTGCGCTTTTCCTTCAGCTCCAAAACCAGGTTGTCTACTTCTTTTGTTTTGAAATCTATTAGGCTTAACAGCTGCTGGGATTTAATATGGTGTTGATGTCTCACTAAATCAAGCTCCTTATTTGCCTCCTCTAACATCTCTTCCAGGTGGCATTTTTGCAATTGTAGTTCATTAGATTCTTTTAGTGTTTGCATGACCAGCTTTTCATTCATATGAAATGCAGATGACATTTGTTCTATGAGCCTTTTGAAATCCTCTTGCAGCTGTTCGGCCGTGTTAGAATTATACAATCTTGTCTTCCTCAGTGCCTCTTCAGATTGAATGGCCCTTTTCTCCTGCTCAATTTTGTCTCTACTGATGATTTCCAGGTCAGCTTCAAATACTACTGTCAGTCTTTCAATTTCATTTTCCAAGCACTCAACCTGGGCTTCTAACTCACTTATTGAAGCAAAGTGAGCTGAACAATCAAATTGCATCCTCAATTGTTCACGCAGTTGGATCTGCTCAAGCTTTTTGGAAATATTATGATTTTCCTGTTTCAATATTTCATAGTCCAGAGCAAGCTGTTCCATCTGCATTTCTGTTTCTTCACGCTCCTTTTTGTATAGCTCTAACTCAGTGGTTAGATGTGCAATCTTATGATCTGGTGAATTTAAGAGTTCGACATCAGTAGACTGATTGACTAATACTTCTAGTGCATATTGTTCATCTTCCTCATATGTGGAAGTTTCAAGTAAGTTTTGTTGGCATTCAGCGTTATGCAATTGTGGTAACCTAACTTTAAACTTCATTTCTTCCATATCCTTCATAATGTCTGGTTTTATAGAAGTACTGCTGCAACAACAAGAAGGGATTTCCCTGTTTTCCCGCTGTACTAACTCCTCCAAATCCCTCACCACAAGTATCAGTTCAGCATTGGATTCATGTGTTTTCTTCAGCTGCAACTGAAGGTCAGCATTCAAACTTTTTTCATGATTCAACTCTTGCTTTGTTTCTTCTAGCAATGACCATTTATTTGTACCTCCAAACTGCAGCTTAGCTGAATCATGTTCTTGATCTGCTGCTCTCTTAATTGAAGCCTTCAGTTCAACACATTCTTTTTCAAGCTCATCTCTTTCCTCTTTCATACTTTGCAGCTCCCTCACAAAATCCTGCCCCCGCCTGCTCTCCTTGACAACTTGCTTTCTGAGAGTTTGGAGTTCAAGATTAGATACTTCCAGTTGCCTTGTTAAGACAATGATATCATTATTAAGTTTTTCCACAATATTATCTGATTCTTGGCTTCCTTCTCTTAGCAATGCCTCCCCAGAACTACTACTTGATTCATCAATACTCCCATAGGGAGCTGAAATGATAGACCAATCGTTACCCGGCACAACGCTGGGATCTCGAGGAGTGTCAGTGCTGCTTATAGGAGATAATAAGCTGCCATATTCTTGCTGGGTTATGTTATTCTTGGCTCCATTCTCCTTTGGGGTGTACCTTTCTGAGCTGCTGTCTGAACCTGATGCTGATATGGTATCCAAGCTATAGGACTTTCTGAGATTTCCATTCGATTTGAACTGGACAGTCATGACTCTGCTAGATGGAAATTTTGTTTTTGCTTGGTTGTTGAAGTCTGATACCTCCTGCAAAACAATGAAGACCACATTTAGAGTTATGCTCGAGAGCTTTCATCCGGAGGCTTTCAGAACTACAAATATTTCATTTTGATTGATGGCTATCAATGAAATTATAATACTTCATCCAGGACTAATCAGATAGATTGCTTCATTTCGTTTTTACTGATTTACATATGTTATATTGGCGCAACTAATCTTTTATGTTTTTTTTAATGCTGTAGTTATGCAACTATTCTATTTGGTTTTATTGTAACCATTTATGCAAGGGTTAATATGGATACTGTTACTATTCTAAGGGGCTACTCCATAAATTTTATGCCTTATAGATTGTAATTAGTCTTAGGATGATGAATGGAGTTTTATAACTATTCTTATAAATTTTAATACTATATTATGGACAGTCATAAGTCTTATGGAAATATAATAGGTCAACAAGACCTTTTTGCAAGTCAAGAATGGTAAATTCAATTTAACATAATAATATTTGGATGGTGACACATTTTGCCTAAATAACACATTCTTAGTTGAAAAGAGATTAAACTTCCCAATTCAATTGCCAAATACAGCAGTCAAAATCTTATATAGCTTGTGAATAAATCATTATTTTTCTTTTTAATTCAAGCTTTATGACAAACTTACAGACATCAAATGCAAACAAATTACTAATTAATTTCAGAACTTTCGGTAATACCTCAGTTGGTTTGATGTCTTTAGCAATTTTGGCCAACGCTTTTGTTTCTGCAATTGCAGAATCGCCCAATTTCCTTCTTAGAGTTCTTAGCTGCTGCTTCATAGTTTTATCTCCATCCTCATCCGACACTCTACATAATCAAAACAAGTAACAGAAAATAATTGATTATAAGATAAAAGTTCAGTTGATAAAAGTAATACCCTCAAAGGTTCAAAATGTTACCTCCCTTCATCTTCACCCTGTATTCTTTGCACAGTAACCTGCCAAACAAGATCTCTGGAATGATTTCAATGGCTTCTATAGCATTATGAAGTAAAACATGGAAAATATTTCTGAAAACAAAGGTACTGACATGGAAAACTGTTTCAGCATTGGGAGCCTTGAGAGGCAACGAAACAGAAAAGGGCTTGAAGGTCTCAGCGTAATCTGCCAGGTTAATGCCGATCTCCCCCACAACCCCGGATTTCACCGAACCCTGCAAAAATCTCATCAAATCAATCCCATTTCAAAGAGGGAAACAACTAGATTGCAAATTAAAGAGAAATCCCATGCGCTCATACTGTTGCTGAGAGAACAAACTGGTAAGTTTTGTCATTGATCTTTCCGGTTTTTGAATCTTGGATCAGCCTAACAGTTTCATATATTGGAATCGCCCAGTTGCATGATCCGTCGACAACCGCTACCTTTTCCGATTTCGCCGTCGGCTTTCCGGCATCTACCGGAAACAAAGAAACCATGAGCTCCTCCCATCCCTTATGATGAACCTAAGGTAAAACCAAACAATGGCAGTCAATCCTCATCAAATCCGCAAATTTATTGCATCAAAACTCACTCTTATCAGCAATTTAAAAATAAAAGAAATACCTTTGTTGCTTGGAACTGAAATTTGAAAACTGCCTTAATCTTATTCTTCTCACTCTTCCATCTCGCTGCCTTAAACATCTTCGATCGGTAGATTTCTTCCTCATAACCTCTGGGCCACAGATGTTATGTAACTGCTCCCATTTGATTGGAGAAGAAGATCGCACTGGGTTTAAACTCCAAGGAAGAGAACAAGAAAGCAGATCTAGCAATCCATCAAAGTCTTCCTTTCTTAGCTTCTCGCTTTCTGTATGAAGTAGTCAGTCTTCCGTTGGAACTGAGGTGAATAAAAAACCAATAAAACTTTAAAAAAACTAAGAAGCTTCTGTGCAATAATTTAAAGGAAGGAGATGGAAATTAGAAAAGGGAGCGGGACTTTGATAAAGAAGAGTGTGAGAGGTGGGTCAGATTGGACTGTTATGAGATAAAATGTTAGCTGTTGGATTGCTTGAGGTTCACAGCAAATCAACAAAAGGGAGGAGAGAGGGAGGGGAAATTTTGCATCGATGCCCTTTGATTTTAAGAAGGGGGGCAAGAGCCCTTAGGCTTTTATGAATGTTGGTCTGGTTTCATTTATTAGTCTTTTATTTTTGGATTATTATAAATAAATTTAAATATAAAATAAGTTTTTTCTTCAATTTATGGAATAACAATTATAATAATTGTAGCATTAGAGAGATGATTTAATATCTTAATTTTAAATACTAGAGGCTTTAAGTGCAATTCTCGGAAAGAAAAAAAAAATACAGGGGCTCATCTAGTTTAGATGGTTCCACTAGTGTATGACATTGATTAGAAATTCTATCTTTCCTCGTAATTGGAATGCATTAATAAAAAATAGTAGGCATGAACTATAAAAGATGTATTTCATAGTGGAAGCTGAAAGTCTTAAAGCATTAGAGATGTCTTCAAAAGATTACAAATGCTACATTCCCCCCTAATTGGAATGCATTATGTAATATAGTTGGCATGAACCGTGAAAGGTGTATTTCATAGTGGAAGTTGGAATCTTAAAGCATTAGAGATGTCTTCAAAAGATTGTCTAGGGTTTATTAGGTCTCTATTATTTGAGGAGAGAACATAAATTAATAAATTCAGTATAAAATTAGTGTCAACGATGTTTTATCAACATTATAAGCAATGGTGTACATCTGTATTGTTGGCGACGATGTAAGACAATGTTGTCGAGAGTTGGTACTTGTGTCGACAACATGCATTTGCTTTGTTGGTGATGGAGTACATTGATGTTGTTAGCAATGACAAGTGATAATGTTAGTGGATATTGTCAGTCATAAAATGATAGTTAGCAGACTGTAATAAAGTGATAATGGTTAATGTGATGGTTGGCATAATTTGAGAAACAATGTTCAGGAGATGGCAATTAGTTGACAATAATTGGGCTATAATGATTATTGGCGATAATCATCTGAGTTGAATTTCAAATGGAGCTTAAGAGTGCCATATCTTTATGATATCTCCAAATCCCCTCTCCTTCTTATAATTTTTTAGAATGCCATTTTAGTAAATTCAGCCAAAATACTAAATAAGTGAAAATTGGAACCTAATTTATGATTTTTTTAGAAAATGACATTTTGGTAAACTTAGCCAAAGTTTCAAAATATTAAATTAGATGTCGCATGTTGATTCTTTTGATCATAGATATTTCTTTAATCATTTTAGTGTCTTAATAACCAAATAATTGAATAATCTTATACTGTTAATTTTCTTTCATTGAGATGTTCAATTTGACTATAATCCAACAAGCTCAATGATTTCTCAATCCTGAGGTTATTAAGACCCTATAAGAATGGACTATTATTAAGGAAAAAATACGAGTCATCCAATGTATTATATTTTAGGAATTTTGGAAAATTTTATCAAAACATTATTAAAAACCTATAAGGAAGGGGGATATTAGGAGCTTGAACTTGACGCTAGATCTAGACTTAAAGTTGGAGAGAGCTATACTCAACAATCAACACTGATGACCACCAAAAAAGCATTTACTTGAGTACCATAGTCAAACCACCATCACTCAATTAGTGTCTCTTAACTATCATCAATCAACTACGATATCTCAATTATAGCCGCCCAATTACTGTTGTTTGACTATAGTCTCCTAACCATTATTGTTTAACTATAAACTCCTAAACATCATCATCCAACTACTATCATTTAACTAGTATCTCCTAATATTATTGCCAATAATATTGGCATATGTCATTGCCTATAAAGCCAATACATGTCATTGATACCCACTAATTTTGTTTCTCATCATCTCTAATAATATTGACACATATCATCACTTATAAGATTGATGTATTCCATCGAAAAAATCATCACATATAAGGCTTATACACACCATTTACATATGCTAACTCTTATAAGGTCAATGCATGCTATTGATACTAAGGCCAATGATCATTTACTTTATTATTAACAATTACTTACAACGTTGATGCATATCATCACCAATAATGTCATGCCCTAGAACTAAATAGAAGAATTAAATCATGAACCTAATTTTCTCAACCGTGACTTAGGACATACTAGAGCTAACTACATATTCTAAAACACCATAAAAATCATAAATGAACATCCACATTTCATTTCCAAAAGAATCATATAAAAATAATTCCATGTGAGGTAGTTTTATGCATCAAAATATAAATACTAAACTATAAAAAATCTTAATATAAAAGCTCAAGATAGTCATGCCCTTATCAATCTCTACTCCACTAGACCATTCCCTTTTTAAAATTTTTAAAAGTGAGCATTCAAATGCTCATTAGGCTATTGATCCCACGTTCTATAGAAAACATTAATGCCCATATTTGTAGTGTATAAAATAAAAGATTTAAATATTAATTATAAATTAATAAAAAAAATATATTATTGTTAGAAGGCATAAACAAAAGGATTTCTTATGACAGTATTATGAAAAGGATAATATAACATGTTTTAAACTTGAATGTGCATTATAATAATTTTTTTTAGAAATTTCACATGGTGGTATAAAGACTTGATGTTGTTGTTACGTTACTTGAACTTGAATATTATAAATATTAGCTTATGCTTTCACATGAGTATCAAAGATTTCCTATTGATAGAACACCACTTGTACTTTCATGAAAGTATTATAGTGTACTTATCAACAAAATTTTCATTGTATTTGAACTTATATCATTTAACAGAATATGTAGCATATGAATCATGATATGCATGTCTTGATGCTTACTTATAACTCCACTTCAACTTATGCCTCCCAAGATCAACCATCACTAGGCGAAGGAGACCAATGTGAGGCTTCTTATAACTCAACTTTTCACTTATAACTCTCTTGATCCTCTCACATCTAAACTTGGCATATGGTAAAAAATCAGAAGTAGAATAGAATAAATAATCAAGCTAATATAACAAAGCTTATATGTAGCGCACTTTAATGTCTCCCATACAAAAACTTATATCATACAAACATGAATGTGTATAAGAGGTTAACATAATTAACATTTATACATGACATTAAGCATATAAATGAATACATATATATTAGCAATTAGTGAGGGGCAGAACATAGAAAGAAATAAAAACTAAACTTATTTAGTGATTTTATTTCATTCTTGTTGAGATTGTTGCAGCTTAGTTTTTTGATTGTTGATATTCTTGCAACATGTATGTTTTTTATGATTCCAAATATTATTGTTTTAATTATAATTTCTCCTAAAATATTTTAGATATTTTATTTTTGTTGTGTATGTACTAACATTTCAGAAAAATCATGCTCCAGATTGTTAAATACTTAAAATCAGATTAGATTAGGGTTCATTGTAAATGAAGTATGCATTTTTCATTTTATTGAGTCTTAGTGAGTGTGATTGTAATTGAATAATTATACACACACACACTGGGGGAGTGTTTAAAATTTGTAATTTTTAAACTGATCGTACTGTATGAAGTCATTTTATATGGGATGATTTATTTAGTTATTTTCCCCTATAAGTAGTTAAACGAACTGTAGGAAGAAAAAAATTTTTAAGTACTGATCATACTATACGAAGAGTTCTTCGTACAAATAACATCCAGAGTACGAATTGGACGAGTCCCTTTTGGTCTCGATGAATTCAAGCTTTTTTTGAATTGATCTTACTGTATGATTCCTTGTTTGTATAAACAACGTCCATAGTACTAATTAGATGGGTCCCTTTCTGTTTCGATGAATCCCAAATTTTTTTGAACTAATCTTACTGTACGATATCTTGTTCATACAGACGATGTCTAGAGTACAAAATTGAAGGGTCTCTTTTTGTCCCGACGAATGCTAATTTTTTTTTGAATGGATCATTTTGTACGATTTTTTATTCGTGCAGACAACATCCATAGTATAAAAATGTGAGGTACCTTTTCGTCCCAACGAAGTTGATATATTTTTTAACTGTTCGTATAGTACGAACTTGGTTCGTACTAGATGATCATCGAGTATGAAAATATTTTGTACAGGTTCGTATGAAACATTTTTTGAACTGTTCGTACATACAAAAATACGATCGTAGTGTATGATCGTAAATGCTCAAAATAGAAATTTTCAATTTTTTGGACAATTTTTCATGCCTTTCATATAAAATATCCTTAGAAACTGAGGTGAAAAGTGTTGTTCTTCATGATTTTTCAAGAACAAGTGAAAGAGTGATTGTGGGAGAGTGTTTGAGAGAGAGTTCTTGTAAGTGAAGTATAAAAGGATAACAAGGTTACTCAAAGGATAACAAGGTTACTCAAATATAAGAATCTCATTTGATTTTTTGGTTATTACATTTCCTTTCTTTTTTCTAGTTGCACAAGAGAAGATCTTTAAAGAATATCTGGTACTCTATCGATACTTAGAGGGTATAAAAAGACGACAATACATTGCCCACACTTGGAGGGTGTAAAAGGATGATGGTTCTCTGCCGACACTTGGAGAGTGTGAACAAACAACGATTCTTTGCCGACACTTGGAGGGTGTGAAAGGACGATAGAATTCTGCCACATCAGGAATTGGTGGAATAGACGAAAATTGTGAAGGATTCTCCACCTTGCTGTGGGGGTAAAAATAGAGTCACTTTTGGCAATAGTGTAATACTTGAAGAGGGAGTTTTTAGAGAGTGGATGTAGGTCGTATTTGACCGAACCACTAGAAATTTTTTGTGTCATTTTATTTTTTGCATTTTTATTTTATGCACTTTAGTATTTGTGGTTGAAAATTTTACTTTTCAAAAATACAAAAAATGATTTTCTATTAAAAAATCTAAGAAATTTTTTAAATTACTAGTTCACCCCTCTCTTAGTTAACCTTGGGATAATTATGTAGGTCTAATAACCTATATGGAATCAACAAGTGGTATCAGAGCTTTGTTCCAAAATTATAAGTTTAGAATACTTTTTGAAAATGATAATGGCTACTTTTGGAAACCAAAATACACTTGAAGGATATTCGATCAGTAGACCTCCATTATTTGATAATATTCCTTTTAATTT